CTTTCTTGCCTAGGCATAGAGTGAGTGCCGTGGGTCAGCCTAGCTCACAGCAACCTCAACTCCTGGGCTCAAGCATCTACTGCCTCAGCCTCCCGAGTTGCTGGGACTACAGGCACAGCGCACCCATCCCGGCTAATTTTTCTATTATATATTAGTTGGCCAATTGATTTCTATTTATATAGTATAGACGGGGTCTCGCTCACTGGTTTTGAACTCCTGACTTGAGCAATCCGCCGCTCTCCTCCCAGAGTGCTAGGACTACAAGCGTGAGCCACTGCGCCTGGCCAGAAGTATATTTTTTTAAGTAGAAAGATATAAGACTGTCTGCTTTTTGATGTCAAAGTCGTTTTTAGGGATTCTCACAAAAGTGCAGTGTCAGCAGCAGTCCTCAACATACAAAATGCTGCTAGGATTTACAGTGGACCCTTGACCAACACAAGTCCCAACTGCACAGGTCCATTTATAAGTGAATTGTTTTTTTTCAACCCAACTAGGATAAAAAATACAGTTTTGCAAGATGTGATACCTGAGTATGTGGAGGGCTGCCTTTTTGTATATCTAATCGGGTTTCACAGGGCCAAATGTAGGACTTGAGTATGCACGAATTTTGGTATTGGGGAAAGTGTCCTGGAGCCAATCCCCATGGTATACCTAGGGACAACAAATGTATACAAATGAGCACACAGGCACTTGTAAATCAGTTTTTAAGAAGTATCTAAAACATAGTATAAGGGTAAGGGTTCAATTAAGAAACCATTTACGAAGCGATAATAAAACAATATTTACTTGTTAACATATGTCAGTTGCAGAGAATCACTGAGGGTGAATTTTAGCTCTGCTAAGACTTGTTTCAGAATGCTAAGCCACACAATCTTAAAGAGATTGTATGGAAGTAAATTTTTTTTTTTTTTGAGATACAGTCTCACTTTGTTGCCCAGGCTAGAGTACGAGTAGCATCAGCCTTCCTTACAGCAACCTCAACTGAGCTCAGGCAATTGCTCTAATAATAATATTCATAGTTGCCCTAAGCCAGTACCCGTATCATAACTCTCTCTGGCATAGCCTCTGCTTTACTCTCTACACAAAATAAAATCCTAGAATTCCCAGGTTTACAGCAATTAATAAAGTCGTATATTAAAACAACAGTTCTCAAGGTATGACCTGTGGACCTCTGGAGATTCCAAAGAGTCTCCCAGAAGACTGTAAGGTCAGAACTATTTTTTATAATAGTAATAAAACATTATTTTCCTTTTCATTTGCTTGATATTGGTATTAAAATAGGGCACAGGCAATGGTGGTAAAACTGCTATTGTATTAGCACAAATAAAGGTATCACAAACTATACCAGAAGTAAGTATGTTCTTTACCACCACATATTCACAGAAAAATAAGCCAGTTTCACTTAAGAATTTCCTAAATAAAGCAGTAAAAATGCTTAATTTTATTAAATTAAACCTTTGACTATATGTCTTTTTAATATTCTATGTGACAAAAATGGGAAGTCACAGAAAGCATGTGGTTATCCCAAGGACATCACTTGTACAAATGTTTCAGTGAAGAGTTGAAGAAAATGGTTTTTCCATGGAACACCATTTTTACTTGAAAGAAAAACTGACGTACAATCTATGGTTACTCAGGCTTGGCTATGGTAAGCATGTCCTTGAAATAAAGTGAGCTTGTTGCTACATTGAAAACAACTGACAATCTTTGTCACAAATGTTAAAATTCTAGCTTTCAAGTAAAAATTACAATTTTGAAAAACTTGTATCCCCCACTATAAGTTTGATAGTTTTCCAAAATAGGCTTTTCTAATGAGACAGATGATTTTTTTTTTTTTTTTTTGAGACAGAGTCTTACTCTATTGCAGAGGCTAGAGTGCTGTGAACTCTATTGCCCAGGCTAGAGTGCTGTGGTGTCAGCCTAGCTCACAGCAACCTCAAACTCCTGGGCTCAGGCAATCCTTCTGCCTCAGCCTCCTGAATAGCTGGGACTACAAGCATGCACCACCATGCCCGGCTAAGTTTTTCTATATATTTTTAGTTGTCCAATTAATTTCTTTCTATTTTTAATAGAGACAAGGTCTTACTCTTGCTCAGGCTGGTCTCGAACTCCTGACCTTGAGCAATCCTCCCGCCTCGGCCTCCGAGAGTGCTAGGATTACAGGTGTGAACCACCATGTCCGGCCCAGGTGGTGATATTAATGAATGTGATTTTTCTGATATTATATAATAAAATATATCAACATTTGGAATATCTGCAAAACAGGGAACTATGTTTTCTAAATGACCAATGCATGATGTTACAAAACCATACATGGGTAAAAAAAGATCCATTCAAAGTGAATTTTAATTAAACAGTATGAAAAGTTCATTCATATGGTTTGAGATTCCTCACTGCAACAAACCTTTAAGAAACTACTAATTGTTGAGTTTTGGCGTAGTATCAGAGAAGAATATTAACAACCATCTTAAAAGGCTATTAAAATACTCTCCCTTTCCAATTATATAATATATCTGTGTGAGGCCTTATTTTCCTCATATACTTTAAACAGAACAATGTATCATAACACACTGTATGGATTTAGAATACAGCTTCCATTAATCCAGACATTAAAGCTACTTGAAAAATGTAAAACAATGCTACTCTTCTCACAAACTTTTTTGTTTTGGAAAATATAGTTATTTTTCTTTAAAGTGTATTGTTTATGTTAAAATGTAGGTGGTTTATTGTAAGTTTTAAATCAATAAATTTTTTACATTATTTTAATTTCTAACACAATGAATACTGACAAATAGAACCTACATAAAGAAATCTCTTTGACAACTTGAGATCAAAAAGTTTGAGAACTGTTCTAACAGAGAATAAATTATATGGTTCCCTAAAAATCTATAAATTACTTGATAAGTGGCATGGGATCTTTTCTTTCCTCTTCATTTCTTATAACATTTATTGAGTAACCATAATACTAATATGTTGATCATCTTAAAAGAACTAACATAATTTAAAAGCAATTCTGGGACAAGAAACAGTTATAATGAGCATAGCTAATGATGGTATTTGCACTACCAAAAATTAGGTGTATCATAAAAAATGAAGAGTATTTTCAAAATTAACTACTTACTTCTCCACCAAGAACTCTGGCCAGTAAGAAAATTGTTAGTGAACCAAATATCCAAATGGTTATAATCCATGAGACCACCTTAAGGGGGAAAAAAATCATATAGTTAATATTTTTGTACCAAATAAACAGATAATTTTCCAGGAACTCAAATCTCTGCCATAGAAGACAGTTTGGCATGATCAATTTCATTTCATAGAGAGGCTATATGGGTTCTCAGATATCTTTCCCAAACTTAATAAGAATACAATGTGAAATACAATTTTATAATACATCCATAATTGCCTAAAGAACCCTAAGTATTTCAAGATCTATGATAAAAGATTATTACAAAAAAGGGAACAAAGTGTTTACTACCAAGCCCTTGGTTTATAGCATCCTGCAAGGAAAATTTATTCCTGACATAAGTTACCAACCTTCTCTGGAAGTCTTTAAAACTTGTATTAATATTTACCCATGTAATAGAATATGGAAGAATTTCAGATAATTTTAATTCCTCAGACTTAGTGTAATGATACATGCATATATTAACAAGTTCTGTCTGTTGGGAGGTCTAGAAATAATACCTCAGTAGCAACGTAAGCACACTTATTGACCAGAAACCGGTTTCTAAATATTATTCTCTAATAAACAGAACTAGGACTTCTCAGAAAAATGGCTGATACCAGGACTGGGGCAGGCAAAATATAAGATTAGCCTGCAACACTATGTGTGGCCAGCCAAAATGAAATGAAGTGCTCAAAAAAAAAAAAAAAAAAGATGACATACAATCTCCGCCCTCCACAAGAGTGAGGGAGTGGGAAGAGGGTTGATGATGAGAAATCATTTAATGTCTATAATGTACATTATTCAGTGGATGGATATCCTAAAAGCCCTAACAAAACCACTACACAATCTATGCACGTACCAAAATTGCAAATGTGCCCCATAAATCTGTACAAATAAAAAAATGATTCTTCATGCCATAAAAAGAAGAGGACAGGATATGTTAAAAAGGACACAGAAGGCAACTTAAAGGAGTTCTCAATGGCTAAGGCTGGAAAAATTTGAGTAATAAAATAAATGATGGGCCGGGCGCAGTGGCTCACGCCTGTAATCCTAGCTCTCTGGGAGGCCGAGGCGGGCGGATTGCTCGAGGTCAGGAGTTCGAAACCAGCCCGAGCAAGAGCGAGACCCCGTCTCTACTATAAATAGAAAGAAATTAATTGGCCAACTGATATATATATATATAAAAAATTAGCTGGGCATGGTGGCACATGCCTGTAGTCCCAGCTACTTGGGAGGCTGAGGCAGGAGGATCCCTTGAGCCCAGGAGTTTGAGGTTGCTGTGAGCTAGGCTGACGCCACGGCACTCACTCTAGCCTGGGCAACAAAGCGAGACTCTGTCTCAAATAAATAAATAAATAAATAAATAAATAAATAAATAAATAAATGATGATAGGATTGGATTATAACGCAAAGTAAAATGAATGAGGGAAATAGAAAAAATCACCATTCAGTAAATACTGTAGTAATAATTGCTACATGCAAGATCCATCAGTGAATGCTAAAACTAGGAAGCTAAAGTTAGATGAGAAACAGGATATTTGCACAGTTGTAAAGTATTTCTACAAGATACTTATTAATTAGAAAGGGGAAAATAGCAACTTTTTGGTGGAGGAACTGGACAAACACCACCCCATCACCTAACCAAGTGATCAAGATTAACATCACCAGTAATAAGATATATGATATTCAGTATCATGTACTCCCTGCTAGTATTCAGAGAAGAATACAATGTCACTTCTTTGATATTCTTGCCGAAAATGCATAACTCCAACCCAATCATGAGAAAAGATCAAGCTAATCCAAATTGAGCAACATTCAATGAGGACATAGTAACTTCCTGGTTTTAGCCTTAGAACCCTTTGTTCAAATGAAAGATTATACAAAATAGATAAAACTAAAGCTGTTCTAGATGAAAGACACATAGTAGGTAGGAGACCAGAACCCCCATTCAACTTCAATGGTCCTTACCACACTTCAACAAAATATCTGATATAAATTACTAATCTAGGGCAAATATAAACAGAACTAATATGTCAAGGATCTTACAATGGGCAGATTATTCTTGATTATCTTGATGGGCTCTAAACATAATAACAATTGTCCTTTAAAGAGGAAGACAGGGGGATTTGAGTACAGTAGAGGAGAAGGCAATGTGACCATGGAAACAGCGATTATAGTGATGTGGCCAGGAGCCAAGGAATGCTGGCAGCTTCTAGAAGTAGAAGAGTTTGAAAGCTTTAATTGTATTTAATTATGGAACTGTTTTAGGGCTGAACAAGTGAGAAATAATGGGTAAAGGCAAAGCATTTCTACATAATATTACATTACAGTTAATATCTAACTGTATTTAACTTTCAGAACTCTTAAAATATTTAGAATTAATATAAAATAAGATATACTTACCCTAAACTGTCCATATAATGATATCATGGAAAAGAAAAGAACAACAGCCAGAGGACCCCAAAAGTCAGGATTGTCTCTCACCACTTGTCTGTTAAAACCAAGTGATGGCATTGGCATCAAAACACATCGGATTTTGTAGTAAATATCCTTTAGATCGATATCCAATTCTTCCCTATAATTTTAAAATAAAAATTCTCAAAAGGCACACACTTCTGAATTAAAATATTTGCAAAAGAATTTAAGGAAAATTTAAATAACACAGTATAAGTCAACAAAACATTCATATTTGAAGTACATTTCACTAATTCCAAGATGTACATTTTCAACAGTTCACTGTCTCCTTTTTTTTCCATGTTACACAAGTAATGTGCCAACCTTGTAACAAGGACTGAGGGAGGCACATCTCAGGCATGTATATGAAAATCCAACCATCATGCTTATGAACTTCGAAAGGATCAAGATTTCACTTTCTCTAAAGTTGGGATACCTCTCACAATCACTGGTGTCTTACAATTGTTAGCCTGGAGTAAAGCCAAGTGCTTCCAATATCTGCCTTTCCTTTTTCCAGTCTCCTGGAGGTACTATCAATATAAGACAACTTGAAATAAATTTTTTGGTTTGAGACTTTTGGGAACCATACTGACAATTCAGACCACAAACCTATGTGAGAACTGGTGTGGGGTTTACATTCTCAGGGGAAATCCTTTCTTCCAACACCCTACCCAGTGACAGAATAAAGCAAACTTCCTTGCTGTCTCTTCCTGTGTGGTGGGTTATTTCTCATTTATATTTGAAATAAAGAGATTACCCGTTAATGTCTCAGCTTTATCCTGTCTTATGTGCTTTTCATTTAATATTTAAAATAACTTCATCTTATAATCCACAGTGTTTTAGATGTGATGAAATATGGTATATTAACATTAAGAAATGTAGGATGCTTTAGCACTTAATCTACCAATAATTAATACAAAAAATAACCTAGAAATGTCTCAATTTTACAAACCTATAGGTTCTTCTTTCCAAAATTGTTAACTCCTTTGCTTCCCCCACGCCAGATGATAATTATAAAATTTCAAGTACTATGAAGAAAGTGAAAGTCTCTTTATACTCCTCCTCCCAGTGGCAGCTCTAGAATTTCTATATTGGAGAGATTTTGAGGTGGTAATCTTTGTGGAAATCTTACTTGCTCTTAAACCTGAATTTCAAAGCAAGCACTCATGAGCCCTGCTTTTTTAGATCTCGTGATTACTTGAGACAGCTGACAGGCTCAGGTAAGCTCTAAAGGTTTGGAGTATACTATATTTGTGTGTAAGTGTGAGATGCAGGATTATCATTCTTTTAACTTTTACCATTCAACAGGTTAAAAAATATTCTCTCATTATTATTTCAGTTTTTTAAATTACTCATAATTGTAAATTGGTAAGGCTTTTTTTTGTTTGGTTTTTTTTAGACAGAGTCTCACTCCGTCACCCAGGCTAGAGTGCCGTGGCGTCAGCCTAGCTCACAGCAACCTCAGACTCCTGGGCTCAGGCGATCCTCCTGCCTCAGCCTCCCAAGTAGCTAGTACTACAGGAACCATGCCCAGCTAACTTTTTCTCTATATATATTTTTAGTTGGCCAATTAATTTCTTTCTATTTTTAGTAGAGACAGGGTCTCGCTCTTGCTCAGGCTGGTCTTGAACTCCTGACCTTAAGTGATCCTCCCGCCTTAGCCTCCCAGAGTGCTAGGATTACAGGCATGAGCCACTGTACCTGGCCTTGGTATGGCTTTTGACCAAAAAGTTTAAGGTTTTCCACATCTGTCATTATATAAAAAAGAGAATATAATCATTCCACAGACTAGCTCTAAAAACCAAAAAATACATGTTATTTTTACGTACAAGAGTGGTTTGTTATCTTCAGGATCATCATCTTCGACTTCCAAAAGCCAGCCATACCCTCTTTGTCTCAGAAATGTAGTAGCTGTAGATTCTTTGATAAAATCTCCACCAAGGTTTAATTTGACATCTGGGGATGCTATTGAACCACTGAGATCTTAGAAGAAAAGAGGAAAAAACTGTAAACCAAGGCAAGAATGTGTGAATCTCAATCAAAGTGAATCTCAATCTCATCTATTTAACTAAAATAATTATCACTGAAGATCTCTAACTATGAACATCTGTTATTGCATGTAATCTTCAAATTTTGTAGTTGACAGATATGTAAAAACCATCTTTTTTTTTTGAGACAGAATCTCGCTTTGTTGCCCAGGCTAGAGTGAGTGCCATGGCGTCAGCCTAGCTCACAGCAACCTCAAACTCCTGGGCTCAAGCAATCCTCCTGCCTCAGTCTCCTGAGTAGCTGGGACTACAGGCATGTACCACCATGCCCAGCTAATTTTTTCTATATATATTAGTTGGCCAATTAATTTCTTTCTATTTTTAGTAGCGACGGGGTCTCGCTCTTGCTCAGGCTGGGTTTGAACACCTGACCTTGAGCAATCTGCCCGCCTCAGCCTCCCAGAGTGCTAGGATTACAGGCGTGAGCCACTGCGCCCGGCCTAAAAACCATCTTTTATTTTATAAGAAAATGAAAAATGAAAGTAGTGGAAAGATAAACAAAAGATTTCACAGCTAATTAGTTAGACTGGTACCAGAATCTAGACTTACCTCAGCAACTCTTTGAAATTTAATTGGAAGATATATAGAAAATATATTACATGATATCACTTTGGATTCCTTCATATATTATGTACCTCAGAACTAATTGTACAAATTCTTTTTAGAGGCATTTCATATATATATACACACACACACACTAATAGACATAATTTATTTGCTAGTAGAAAACTGTAGACAAACTTTCTCTACTTTTTCATGTATTTATTCATACATTCTTTTATTTCCATGATCAAATATCTATGCTAAGTGCTTCATATATTAATGCTTGGTTCTGGATAAATCTGATAAGAGTTCCCTATTTCAGCAAACTCTTTTCTTTATATAATTACATTATGTATCTTTAGTTTCAGCAAAAATTTTATTTTATTTTAATTGTAACATCTATCCATGCTAATCGTCTCTTTATCATTCCAATTTTAGTATATGTGCTGCTGAAGCGAGCACAGTTTCAGCAGAAATAAATAAAGGGCTTTTTTTTTTTTTAGGTTGGCTCTAACAAGACGTGAAGAAATTCAATTATTTGCATTAAAAAATAAATTCCATGCACAGCCTGCACAGTAACTTAGAGGTTATAGATAATCATATTAGTACAAATACCACATTTTCTGACTGAAAAAATTTGGAACAGTTAAGGATTTTCTTAAGGTCACACAGGAATTTAGAAGAATACTCACATTTATTGGACCAGACAGTGTGTACTAGTAAATAAACAGCAATGTTGATAAGTCATAGGATCGGAGAATTACTTTAGAAAAATAATTTTAGCAACAGCAAGTCAACACTCTAATGCAGATCCTTCTCTAGAGTTTATCTCCAACTAACACTAAAGTTAACTTCCTTAAAAAAAACAAAACTAAGTTTTTCATATATAATACAAAGAGCTTAACTTGCACAATACTCTGAGTCACATCCTGGTCTGGTTGTGGTAACTCCTGTAATTAATTTTAACAAAAGTTTACATTCTGAAGCTAAATTCCAGTTTAGCTACTAATTAATACAGCAAATCACTTATGTCTTCTGGGACCCAGTTTCCTATTCAAAGTTCTCTCCAGGTTAAACATCATTTGATTCTAAAAAGTTTTTATAAGAGAGCTTACTCAGCTAGAGGTAAAATGTAAATAGCTTTGAATTCACTGTCCTTCCTTATCTAAAGTTAAAAAATAATCCCAGTAGATACTGTCACAGAATCTTACAGTCAAAATATTCTCACAAAACTACTTTCTACTTCCTTGTCTTAATCTAAGTTGAAATGAAAAAGGTAGAATTTAACTAAAATTCTACTTCTAATAGGTACAAAGAGTGCATTTTCTTGATTTAACAAGATTTAAATCAGGAAGTCATTACTACAGCAGTGACATTAGAGGTTTGCAATTATGAGGTTGGAAAGGGCCTTAACAACTGTTTCTTGGTCTCTAGACAGGACTATACTTAAAGTCCTTAATCTAAACCAAAAAAGGATATATAAGCATATAAATTATAGTGCTAAGGAATGCTGCATTAAAGAAATGTATATGTTTAGCAGTTTGTCATAGCATGGATGCTAGAACTTCAAAAAGGCACCCTTAGCTTACAAATTTTGTAGTACTTTTGTTCCACATAAAGTAGGAAAATATCAAGCATACCCTGCTGCTAGCAACAGCAATTTGACACCTCCCCTAGGACCTCCAAGACACACTTAGGTGGGCATGGGATAGAGTAACAGGAATGTCCAAACAACTGGTAGTGGTTTAACATGTAAAGAATAATGTCGGTGAACAAGGAAACAGATACAGAAATCACAGGAACCTGGTTGATTTAAGTTAACAGAGTAAGAATCAGCTAGCTTGGCTGTTAATTCTAGGATAGACATCACAGTAAAAATTAAAAATATTCAAGAAAAAAGAATGGGGAAGAATATCAGTAAGTTTCAAGTCTTATTGAAAGACAACTGCATAACAAAATTTAACAGTAATTTTCTCTCCCTTTCAACTCAAATGTATAACTGGGTGGGGGATCCTTTCTCTCAATCCTCTGCTCAGCCTGAGAACTTCAATTTGAAAAAAGGAAGAACTTTGTCAGTGCAGTGTAATAGTATACTAAAGATGAGATTACTGTTCTGCTCCTAGACACATTCTAGATTTCTGTGAAAGACGAGTATCCTGCAATGAACAATGAACATTTTGTTGATACTTGCCAACTTCTTATATATGTGAAGAAGCTTTTTCTTTTTTTCTTTCTTTTTTTTTTTTGGAGACAGAGTCTCACTTTGTTGCCCAGGCTAGAGTGAGTGCCGTGGCTTCAGCCTGGCTCACAGCAACCTCAATCTCTGGGGCTCAGTGATCCTACTGCCTCAGCCTCCCGAGTAGCTGGGACTACAGGCATGCGCCACCATGCCCAGCTAATTTTTTGTATATATATTTTAGTTGGTCAATTAATTTATTTCTATTTTTGGTAGAGACGGGGTCTCGCTCAGGCTGGTTTCGAACTCCTGACCTTGAGCAATCCGCCCGCCTCGGCCTCCCAAAGTGCTAGGATTACAGGCGTGAGCCACTGCGCCCGGCCGAGGAGCTTTTTCTTATTTAACAAGCAAAAAGAGCAAGGACGAGTATCATCCCATTTCAGTTGAAAATAAAATCTATGTGTGCTTAAGTCTAACCCAGAATTGAGTATTTGTGCAACAAAAACAGGCACATTTTGCACTGAAAAGGTAAATTCCACTGCTTCATTTGAGTTATAAGAATACCATTTTAATGCATATATAGGCCAATGAAAAAGATCAAGAAACACGTCAGGCTTTCTTCGGCAGTACCTATACCAAAACCGAAATGATACAAAGATAAGCACAGCCACTGTGCAAGAATGACACACAAATTCATGAAGTGTTACATATTCATAAAAAATTTTTAAAAATAAGAAAAAAGAAACACATACATAATAATTTTGTAATTGCTAGACCTATACTGGAGCTTGAAGAAAATGTTTTTTCAAAGCCTTGTATAGAATTGTGTCTTAGGTTATATTTTTAATCACATTGCTTTGGCTTATGGTTTTCAATACTGTCAGTAAATTTGCATATTGTAAATAAAATTAATTAAAATCATTTAAACTAAATCTCCTGAGCCTATCATTATAAAAATTGAATTCCATTTGGGCATAAGCCACTTACTAAACAGAAATTTCTTTTGTATGCCTTATCAGTCTTTTAATTTTTTATTTTTTTAAATTATAAATTTATAGGAAGTTGCAAAAATAGTACATAGAGGGCATATGTACCCTTCATCCAATTTCCCCCAATGGTATGCTATCATATAACTATCCAATCTAGGTCATTGACATTGGTACAATGCCCAGACCTTATTCAGATTTCACCAGTTTTACATGCACTTATTTGTGTGTGTGTGTATGTATAGTTCTATGCAATTTTATCATATGTGTAGATTTGTGTAATGCTTTATGAGGTTTAAAATTTATGAACAGAAAGAAATAGATTAATTTCTAAAAAAGGTAAATTTGCTTAACTAGCTGCCCAGCCCATGTACATCATTTTTAAAAAGCAAGAAACTTTTAAAAAGGAAAAACTAAAGATTCCTCTGTCTATACTACTAACTTGTATTTAAAATGACATCCTTTCTGGGGAGGGGAAATTTTACACAAGGAGTAGGGTAAATGCTTGGCCAAAATAACAAAGTAACAGAAAATTACTGTTTACTCAAAAGCATTGACAATAATTATTGGATTGTCATGTCTACAACTTAGTGATCACACTAACATATTGTGAGCTGTAGATACTGTCATTTTTATACAGGGGTAAGAAGACTGAAGAAGGCTAAACTTGAAATGCAATATATTGAGCCCAGTCCTCTTCACTAGACTTATATAAGCAATTGTTAACTTAATATTTCCTTGTAGCTATTTCAAAGACATCTAAAATTCGATATTCCAAGTACCTCAGGTCTTCCTCCACTTTACTTCAGTGGATAATATCACTATCTACCCAACACTGTAAGCTAGAAGCTTCATTATCCTTGGCAGTTTGCTTTATTTGCATGCTTCTTCCTCTATCCCACCCACCACTAAATTCTGTCAGTTTTATCTCTAAATAGTTTTTGGAACCTATCCACTTCCTATTTCTACCACCAGCACCAAGCTACTGCAAACTACCAACTCGTTCCCTCTATTCATTCTTGTCTCCTTCCAATCCATTCCCTTCACTGTATCCAGAACATTTTTTTTTTTTTTTTGAGACAGAGTCTCGCTTTGGTGCCCAGGCTAGAGTGAGTGCCGTGGCATCAGCCTAGCTCACAGCAACCTCAAACTCCTGGGCTCAAGCAATCCTCCTGCCTCAGCCTCCCGAGTAGCTGGGACTACAGGCATGCGCCACCATGCCCGGCTAAT